AGAAAAGAAAGAAGGTGCCAGATACCCCAGTCTAGTTTTTGTATACATAACAGCCAATTTCCAAACTAAAGTCATTTTGGATAGGAAAAGGATAGAGAAGAAATCACATGATGGGGTTGGCTGGCAGAGAAAGATATCGGTAAGTAGAAAAGTATAGGAAATAGTCAGGTATGGAGTAGCCTTGAGTTTTATTACAGAAACTCTATTTTGATCAAAGATGATAATACATATAAATTCAATTTTCAAACCACATTCCTACTCCATGATGAAATAATCTGTCCTCTATGTGGCACCTATGTTGTTCGTTAGAATTATTTATAAATACCATGCACATAGAAGCATCCATACCTGTTCTCTTTTAGCTACTGCTCTATGGGTAGTAGTTCAATCATCTGGCATCTTAATGTCCCTTTTCTTTCACTGGTATCATACCTGATGTGTTTTAAAAGTTGGAGTTGGCTGTAGGAACCCAGGTCTCTTACATGCATGTGTCGGCTGGGGAGGGGGAGGAGCACTAACTGTGCCTCGGATTAAGCTCATTGGCTACAATACTGCCACTATGCAAAACAAAATGCTCATGGGAGCATCTAGGGACAGAGGCATTCTGGGAAATCAAGATGTGAAACATAAGTATAATTTCTTTCTAAATCATGCATGCAAGGAAGAGGGAGAAAAGGGAAGAAGGGAGGAGAAAGTGAGGAGGGCAAATATGAGCACTAGTGGGAACTGGAAGGGGTATGTGAAAACAACAGTACAGTGTCTTCCAGGCAGCAGGACCCTGGGACTCCATTTGGTAGCCCAGCTGTAGTAGAACTCCTGTGCAGCTGCATTCAGTGCTGAAGAGCTATTTAGACCCACCTGCAATTATATCTTTGTCTCGGCCTTCAAGGAATCTGGTCCCACATGCAGAATGATTCCAATCTCTTCAAAAATACAGACAGTTTGAGCTGTTCATATTGATCAGTAGCAAACTTGGAAACAGGCCCCGTGGTATAATACGATTAGCACCCAAGCAATGCAGTCAAAGCCATTACGGACTCAGCAGTGACACCGTTTTCAGGTCATCCTGACTTACAATTGGCTGTTCCCCATCTCAGTGGAACTAGATAGTTTCTTTTTGTGCTTCCCAGAGAAGTTCTATCTGTAATTGATTCTTGGCCAGCTTCCACAGTACCTAAATTGTTTAGGATTTGATGCTGTTTTCTTTCCGGATGGAGGACTGTGGTTTCAGATGAGTGGGCTTGGTGCCAGCAGCCAAACTTGGCACCTTTCCAAAGTGTTGGGGTTTTAGGGCAGTGGGATACAGAAATAATTGATCTCAGCCTACTTGCTGCTGCTAAAATATGAATCTTAAATCAAAGCTGAGAGACAAGTCAGTTCTGCCCCTCTTACCTTTTCCACTGAGAGCACAGGATGGGAAGAATGCCACAGCAGGAAAACTGGAGTGGAAGTTTAGTTTGCTCTCTTAGTCAAGAATTGGTGTTCTAGGTGGGACACAGCATCTCACATCGGATCTTTGTGGAGCTAACACTTCTCCTGTATCTCACCTGTAGCTCTATTGTCCTCCTCCTGACCTTTTCCATAGGGTTCTCTTCAACCAGGCTACCAAATACAACTGAAGCAGACAGAGAAGCAGCAGCGCCACTCAAAACATTTTCAACACAGACAGAAGGAGGCTGTAGGAAGAAAAACAATGCCTGCCATGGAATATACATCTCTCAAGTCATAATACAAAAAGCAGTTGAGGAGTGGGGAGTTGAAAAGGCAATGCTCCCTAGCGGGTCAGTCCCATTTGCTTGGATGACTCTGCATTTAACATACACGCAAACAAGCAATCATCTTACTTAGCAACTTGGATTCATGTTATTATGTAAAAGGACCTCCTGCTTGGCACAGTCTGACATAGTAGCATTGGAAGGTATATAAACTGCTCTAATAATACACCGATGCTGAAACATGCAGCTGGCAGTGCAGCTTGGCTGGTTTTGTTGCCTTTGATGAAGAACTGAAACCTGGTATTTAACTAATCAGCTTTCCCCAATCTGGTACTCTCCAGCAGTGTTGGACTACAGTTCCCATCAATTGCCACAATGGCTTGGAATGATGAGCTCAACATGCTGAGAGGGAAGCAGGTTGGAGAATGCTAGTTCTAAATGTTCTGAAACATTTCATTTCACTTTTATTTTGGCAGAAAGCAATAGAAACTTTTCCTTGACTCATAAAGGAATATTTCTTTTACCTGTGATTTCCATATTTGTTCTGGTTATATTCTATGAGGATTTACAGACTTACATGATTGTTATAGTCAGTGGAAATCACAGTGAACCCTTCCAATGCAAACTATGTTTTATATTTCTAAATGTAAGGTCAGTACCTATTCCTTTGTTCTGGTTATATTCTATGAGGATTTACAGACTTACATGATTGTTATAGTCAGTGGAAATCACAGTGAACCCTTCCAATGCAAACTATGTTTTATATTTCTAAATGTAAGGTCAGTACCTATTCCTTATAGAGGAATTCCTTCCTCTACCAGACTTTAGAAGTGAGTGCCCTTGCTTATGCAGCCAAAAGAGGTATACACAGTGTTGACAGAGCCCCAAATTTTCCAGAACAATAACAAATCTTTAGGAATAAAATTGAGGGGAAATTTTCCAAAACAAGACTGAGCATGCTTAGTAGCATCAGAATACTGGGTATGTAAGCAAGTAGAAAATCATTTAAGAGGAATGAAGTATCTTAGAATGCAAGTCTGATTGGCTGAAATATGGAACAAAGCACCCATAAAGCAACATGTTGTTGAAGATACCAAAACAGAAAAGAATTGTGTTGTATGGGTCAAAAAGTCAATGTGATGTGTTGGATTAGAGCCAGAGAAATCCAGGTGTAAATCCCCACAAAGCCATGAACCTCATACAAAGATTGGGATCCAGTCATTTCCCAAGCTAACCTACCTTCTTAGGTTAGAGCTGTTTTGAAAATATTGAAGGTGGGGAAGCCATGACCTCCTTTAGATAAGACAAAATATAAAGGAAATTAATAAATAAAAACTGGGTGACCTTTGGTTAAGCAACATGTGCTTAATCTTTTCTTCCCAGTGGCCTTGTGGATAACAGGAGGAGGAATTAATACTACTTTAAGTTCCTTGTAGAAAAAAAAAAGTTGTAAATTTATTATTACTATTGCCAACATATGTGAACTGAAGATTATATATTTTTAGATGGACCAAATTAGATGTAATTTGGAAGATTCATGCACTGTGTATCTAGTGTTTTGTTTTTATTGAAACACACAACCACACTTGAAGTGAAACACACTTAACTGAAGACACAACAACCAAGGATTAATTCTTCCATACCAAGCTGTTTTTCTGGTTAAAATCATTCCTCACTGCTCTTTGTTCTAGTAGTGAAAAACTGCATATAATCTTATACTACCTGTCCCCCCATAAAGGAAATTGTAGCTTCTGAAAGAAAATTGCCAGAGTAGGAAAGATTGGAGTAAGTCCCCCCCAAACTTGTGCAACTATGGTTAACATTTTTTTTTAAATGGGGAGATCTTGTTCAGAGATTTATCATGCTGTTGGAAATTATCCCTAA